GGGGGGATGCACCAATTTCTGCAAGTGTCAATAGTAGCACGCCATTTTTTTTTAAAAGTCTGTCTTCACTTGGAGAAAAAGCACAAAGCCTATTCCTCTGTTAACGAAGGAATCGTGAATGCACTGCTAGCTCAGCTCCTAAGTTCAGACAGAACAAATTTCCTCCCTCCCCCTTCTGTGTTTAAAGCAGCATATCCATAAACTGGGGACAGGGGAATCAATTGTTCAATAAATATCAGTAAGGACTCTGTTCAGGTAAGCTATACACAGTTTCTCTTAGTTTATGGATTTCAGATCCCTAGGAAGTCATATATTATGTATGGCAGTCTCTCAAACACAGTCAGCATCCTCAATAGCCAAGAGTGGTCATGTTTTTAATAAATAGTTCAGGCTTTTCTTGTCTCAGTACCCAGCTCATGAATAATGAAAACAACCTCCCCCACCCTCCCCAAGGCCCAATGGCCAACGCTTCCCTAGACTTTGTCTTTCTTCATTGGTTTAATTTTCCTTCAGAATGGTTTGTGGCTGTCGCTTAGGTCCAAGACAGGTCTGGTGAGCTTCAGGCTCCACAGTGCACCAAAGCCAGACCCCCAGGGCTCAATCGATCCTCTCCACTTTGCCCAGAATCCGGCCTTCATACATCGGCAGCTCTGTCTCATCGTCCCAGATCTCCTCAAAAACCGCGCCGCAGGCAAACTCGTCACTAGCTTTTTTGAAGTAATACCTTAAAAGGCAAAAGGGCAAAAGCTGTTGAAATGGCGTCATCTTACACTGTTTTAAAGAAGGCCTGCCAACATGGAGAACAAGGTGACAGCAGGTGCGTCAGTGAACTGCTGTCCACTTGAGCCAGGGCTCACGGGGAGGAAGGTCAGGCAGCAGCCAGCGCCCAGAACTGCTGCTGCCGGATACACGCACAACACAAAAGGCGTGTTGGAGGCGGGAGGTGGGGGAGCAGAGGCCTGGGGTTCATTTGCTGCAGCAATTGGTAGAAGATGGAGGAGTCCTTCAAAGAGACCCAGGACTCAGCTCCAGGTTTGGCCAGCCTAACTTGCAGAGCCCGAGTCTGCAAAACCGTACAGAAGCATCAGTTTGGAGGCCACCTGTCCTTCCCACTCTCCTGGGCCCAAGGGCCAACACTTCCTCATGGTCCCCAGTCAGCCTCAGGCTCACTCCAGCATTGAGCAGACAGCACTGGCCCCATGACACCCAGCTTTCTTGCCCCTGCATCCCTGCCTTCTCTCCAGTGTCAAACACTGAAAGCCCTCCTCCTGTGTCTTTGATTAAAGCTTTCTCTTATCCCTCCCCAGTATTCTCTCTTCTAAGGTTGTTTAACTGTACAGACCAATGGCCCCTCTCAGGACAGTCACATTTGGAACAACCGCTGTCTTTGGCCAGGTCCAACCAGGAGAAAACTAAGCAAGGCCTTTTCCCACCAAAGGAGACCCCTCTCAAAGGGATTAAACTCAACCCTGCCAACTGTCACTTCCAGCCTATAAAGGCCACTCATAGAGGGAAGGTCACAGTCCCCTGGGATCAGGGGATCCTCTAAAACAGTTCATTGTATCTCAGGATTAGAGTTACATTTTGTTTTTATTCTCTTAGAAAAAGAAAATTCCCCTGTTAAGAACTAAATTTTTTCCTCTTTAATGAAGGTGAATCACAGCTGCTTGAAATGAGGAACAGTTTGGGTCTGGGTCTCATCAGAGCCTTTGTCTTCAGTGTTTTGGGTTGGGCTGGGCTAGGCTGAAGGGGGCAGGGAGGGGAAGCTTCACACCTGGGGGTGGGGGTGGGGTCAAAATTCTTAGGGGCGCGTGAGAGAAGACAGTGAGAAAAACAGAGGGGGCCCCAGTGCCCAGGGGTTCTGGGACAGTGGAAAAAAGTAATTTTTCCAAGTAAGAGACTTGAAGCCCAATGCGCCACCCTGTCACCCCTCAAGCCCCAGCTTCCACTCCTATGGTCTTTCAGAGCAAACACAAAATGACCTTTTACATAATCGCAACCCCTTCCAGCCAGGGGAGAGGCAACATTCCCGTGGTCCCACCCCCAGGACTTCAAACACACCGCCTTGCCCTCTTTTTCTCCACTGCAACATGCTTTCTTTATGTGGCAAACTCTGCTTTCTTCTGACATCTGGCACCAATAGCGTCTGGCATGTCTGGAGGGACTGTTTGCTTTTTGAACCCCTGCCACGCTAAGATTACTCAACACAGCCCAGGTCCCCACTCCAAAGCCCCAACCTCACTCAGCTTTTTTATTGGGGTGGGGGCCAGGGGTGCAAACTGAGATGTTAGGTCTCGAGCCCTGCTGGAGGGGGCAAGGCATGGCACTCTGTGTCCCCACCACTACCCCCAGCAGGATACTGAGTCCTGCAGGCCCCGCACAGATAAGGTGGCTGGGAGGACCTTCCCACAGCCTGATCCAATCAGCAAAGAATTTGAAAGTGGACCATTTGTGCGAGTCTTTATGCATTAAAGGGGAAGCCAGGGCTTCAAAGCCAGGCTTATTAAATGTGCCTTAGGAAAAAAAATCAGAGCCAGATGTGGCCGAAGTGGCTAAGTGAGGCACCTTCCCCCCAAGCCTCTGCTTGTCACTCTGTGGCTCTTCTCCCCTGAAGGTCACCTGTAGTTCCCCTCACAGTCCAGCCAAGTCAAAGCCAAGATCAAAATGAATCCCTGGAAAGGCACACTAGTGTAATTAGTTTCACCTGTGTCTTTTCAAGATTAAAAGCAGCAGCAGCAGCCAAGCCTGTCCCTAGTCCCTTTGATAACTTTTCAGAACTGTCTCTTCCCAGGTATATAAGGGAAAAACCCAGGCCCAGTTACATGCCCTGCTGGTCAGTCACCTGCAGGGTCTGGGCCCAGTCATCAGTTCTCCTCCCATGCAAGGTAGCACTGCTGGTCCTGCCCAGCCCAACTGACCTCCTGCCAGGGTCACCGATGAAGCCACACAGGGCTCTGCAGGTGGGCTTAACTGTACCCATGAGCCAGCCGCCCACCTGGCAGGTGAGGCCCCTTAGGTTTTCCCCTCACATCCCCTGGCTCTGGAGACAGAAATACCCACTGGCCATGGGCTATAACCCCGAACAGGGCCCAGGGCACTTCGATGAGGAGCAGGCACTTCCTGGGTGCAGGAGCTGAGTAGTAGACACCGCCTCAGGGTGTCCTTGACGTCCTGCTCTTCTCATTTTTGCCCCAGCTGTGCTCTGCACCCAAGGCAGAACCCATATAATATTCCCTTGGGACAAACACCACAGAGAAGGGGAAGGTAGAGCTTTGGATAAACTGAGGTAGTCATCGCCTGTCCCTCACTAGGAGGGAAGTGACCAAGAAATGGTTCAGGGTTGACCCTCACCCTCCTCGGCTCTCAGCATCCTCTCAATGACCTGCCAAGGTCAGCGTGGGCCTCCTCAAGGGCACCTCTACTCTGCAGATGAGGAAAGTAGGCTGGAGGTTATGTTCCCTCCCTAAGGCCCCAGCAGGGAAAAAAAAGGCAGTGAGACCCAATCCCAGGCAGAAGAGTGGCCAGCCCTATTCACCCTGAACCCTCCCCCAGGTTCAGCCTCTTCTTTGTTGTGGACAAAAAAAACATCTCTACTTCAGATGACCCATCAAACCCAGGGAGGAAATTCTCAGGCAGAAGGGCTGGGAAAGGAACACGATGGTGATTTTTCCTAGCCATGGTCTATGCCCATATCTGAGCCTCCAAGATGAAAGTATTCCCTTGATCCAAGTCAGTAGGAAAGTGGTGCTTTCACTTTCTCCCTCTTCATCAGTCTGCCTTCTCCCTGCTGCACGCCCCCGCCCACCCTAAGTCCCTTAATTTCAGGCAGTCTCCGTGACACAGCCAAGCCCAACAGTCCAATTGGACAACCTCACCGTATACTTCGTAAGTCCCTTCCCCCAAGGCCTGCTCAGGACAGGAGGCTCTGGCTCCTGAGCAAACAAACTAGAGCTGAAAAAAGCCCCAAGACTCTTACCTGTAATTTCCCTTTTTGCTGAGCTGCTCTTTAAAGTGGCCCAGGGTCAAGCTCTGGGCCTTCAGCATCCTCCTGTATGGAATTTCTTCTCCACAGAAAAAGTAAGTGACAACCAACTCACTAGCCTGGAGTGCATGGACCCCTGCCAGTTTCTTTGGCTCTTTGTGACTGAAAATAAGACAGAATACACAAGTTCAGCATCTTAAAGCAGACATACATTTAAATGTGTGCGCGCACGCGCACACACACACATACACGCGCGCGCGCATTCGAGGCATGGTCTCCTAACGCTGAGCCTGAGCTGGGAATTTAAGGGAGGCTTGGGGCAGGAAGGGCCCTTATTTTACTAAGTTGGCCACTGGTGGGCACACAGTCCCGTCCCACATGATCTGCACAGAGCATGCAGGAAGGGATGATTTCCTTTGGTTATATAAATTGACATCGTTTTCTTCATTGTCACCAAACAAGGTGCTCATCAATGAAGAGGGAGAGGACAAAGTCTAGGACCCTCAGAGGCTCCCCTAATCAGGGACGCTGTAGAGGCAAATGCAGAGCAGGGTACACCTTCCTGGATGGCATGAACTCAAAATGCTTGAAAGCCCACCCAACAGAACGAACCCAACTAAAAGAGGGTGGCCCACAGTCATTTCAAGTGTTCTGTTTATTGAGTTTCTGTGGAGTGGTTTTAAAAAATGTCTAATGCAGATAGCTGGTAGACTTAAGGTCAATCAGTTAAAACACGGAATGGGCCTAGAAGGGTGGCTTAATCAATCTTCAAATATGGCTTACTGAGCAGGATGAAAAAGCTAAGAAAGAAAACTTTATTTAGACTATTTTACATTTCTGTAACAGGCTTCTAATCGCCATACTGTAAATAAACTGTTGCCGGGCTTTTCAGTCCCTTTTCCAAATGTAAACTTACGAAAAGAACCATGGCCCAATTTGGGGAAAGATACTCTGTTTTCCCTAAGCAAGACACAATGATGGTCTTCTCAATCAGTGGAGATCACCTTCCCGCTCAGGGGTGACACAAACATTTCCAGTACCACTAACTTGCAAGTTCAAGGAGGGAAAATTTCCCACCCAGATACAGAGTCCTTTTTACCCATCTGCTAATGGTTTCAGGTACCAGAAATGCTGGGTTAGGATGTTTTATTTCTCAGTAGACAGGTTTCCCATGATCAATGCAACATCTAACTTACTGTTGCCCATCATTGGTGTTAAAATCAAGGTCACTTCATGTACTAAAGAGTTTCACAAAACCCAATGCCAGATAATGAATGACGTGAAATGTAAACCACTCAGTGCATCCCAGTAACGGCATGCAAGGACACTCACTCTTCTGGAGCCAGGCTTGAGTTGGAGAAAGGCAGGGTTCCCACCTGACCAGTGGCCAAGTGGTTCCTATCCCTCTGCTGACTGGCCATGCAACACCTGAGGACACAACCAAGGCAAAGGACTTAGCGATGTACTGTTGACCCCAAGACAACTGGGGAGCAAACAGAAAACTACTCTCTTTGGCCCTCTGAAGAGACATGGACCCAACTTCTATCCCTGTGGAGACCCAACCAAGGCCTTGTGTTAACAGATGTCTTAGAGCAGTCATCCTGACCCCACAGGAGCCCAGGACAGAACACCCCTAGTCCTGGCAAAGGGTACAAGGTTCTTGATTCTTTGACAGTTAAGACTGCTCACTTCCTCATCAAACCAGTCTTCGATGATGAAGGAATGGGATTTGTAAAGAATGACTAAAATTCACCCTCTTGCTTCTAGGCATGATTTGCCTAACAGACCCTGGTTGAACTCTGGCAGAAATGAGCCTAACTAAAGAGACCAATTTCCACAGGCTGCAAAGGAGACTCTTACTTGGCCAAAAGCAATTCCTCCTCTCTGAGGAGGGTCTGACACCCAGGGAGAAAAAAAAACCCCTCCCGGGAGGCTCAGTATCCACCTCCAAACCCAACCTCTGCTTTAGCCTCTGTGGGCCCCCCCTTCTACTCACCGCTGCTTTGGGGGTTTCGATACCTCCGCCAGCCTGCGGCAGGCCTCCTCCAGCTGCGCCAGAGTATTGGGTGGGGTCAGAGGAGGCATTGCAGGGTCCTGGGTAAATGGATGGGTGCGGGGGTGCCCACTGCCCCCCCACAGGTGGTGCCGGCTGACTCGTTCACCTGAGGACACACGGGCAGACTCCAAAGGGTAAGCCTTTTTAGTGCTTTGGGCACTGAACAAGGAATGAGGAGAGAGAAAGCAGAAAGAAAAGAAAATGGGTTAGAAAAACTGGAAAATGTGACTTCAATAGAAACTTGTCTATTCTGCTCTGAGAGAGAGAAGAAAATAACTCTACTATAACATGAATAGGGGTCACTGCCAAAACATGACATTTTTGTGGTCTGCTCAGTCCAACATCCAATATTAAGATGGAAGGAGCAAACAGTCACATTTGTGTCAGCCGACTACAGAAATAGCCATCCCACAGTGTCTCTGTGCTGAGGCCCGGGTGGTGTTTACCTGTGGGGCTTGGGCTTGCTCTGCCGCTCGCTCTCCATCATCCACTGCCAGACATCCTGCGACCGGTCTCCTTCCTCTCCAGGAAGCTGCAGGGCTCCAGTTCCACCAGGGGCCCCTCCTTCCCTGGCGGGCAGGGCCAGGCCAGCCTCGGTGCCTTTCCCATTTCGTTTGGGCAAGGTACTGCCTCTGGGTGCACTGTAGAACAAAGAAAACCACCCAACCCAGACACCCTATTAATTTTCCAGGACTCCTTCAATGGGACAACCTGAGAGGGGGTCATGCCAAAAGACCCATGCACCTGCTACTCCTCACCCTGCATGCAGCAGTCTCTGCACCCCCTCCTGGAAGCTAAATGCCCATGACTTCCACCCGTCTCACACCTGCCCAGAGCTTGCACTGGGAGAAACGCTCCACCCCGTACACCACATTTCCCCAACACTCACCTGAACTGATCCCCTGCCGTGCCTTCTGGAACCTTGGGATGGCTCTTGCATTTTGAGTAGCTGTAATACTCAGTGACCCCAGGGCAGAAGCAGCGTACCCTCTGCGTGGCTTCAGCCTCGATCTCCTCCTTGGTCTTGGGACCGGCATGGTGGTGGATGTAGTGGTGGTGGACGTGCTTCGTCATCTGCTTGGTCACGAAGCCCTTGCCCCCAAGGAACGGGCAGGCAGCGGCGGGAGGCAGCTTGCCTCCGGGTGGGAGAAGGGAGTGGTACTGCTGATGGTGGTGGTAGTGGTGGTCGGGAGAGCGGGAGCGTGGGCTGTAGTGGCCCACACCAGGCGACTGGCAGCCAGGGGTCTTGAGGACTCTAGACAAGTGGTCGTCCAAGATGGTCTGTGGGTCCTCCTCATAGCTGCCAGAGGGCAGGAGGGACAGGGGTTGCTGGGTCGGCATCCCTTCTCGTGAGCTCAAAGCCTGCTCTGACCCTTCTTTCTCTTCATCCTGGAAGTGGAAGCAGCAGAGGGAAAGTGACCCAGGAAGCGGAGAGGACCCGATGCCCAGGATTTGTGCACATGCATGCATGCACGCAGGGTGGCAGCAGGGATGGGGCAGCACTACCTCGCGGATCTGCTGCAGTCGCTCCTCCAGGCTGTGGCGACTCTCCAGCTCCAGCTTCAGCTTCTCCAGCCTTGAGATGAGCTCGGCCGCAAAGGCGGCAGGCTCCACGGGGGTCATCTCCTTGGGCAGGCGGTGGGTTCTCTAGGGACACAGGAGGAAAGGGATGAGGCACAGTCAGCAGGTTGGGCGGGCACTGGCGGTCGCAGCTTGGCCAGAGCTCCCAGGGCCCAGCAACGCGTGTCTCGTCCCCATGTTTGTAGCGGATGGCAAGGCGGCCTAGACTGCTCAGGATTTTTATGTGCCAGCGCCACGGCCTCATGGAGAGCCATGGTCCCCACCAGCGTTTGCCTTGGGCAGGAGCAGTTGGTCGCACTCCGAGAGGCCCTGCTTGTTCTCTCTGTAGTACAACCAGCCCATCAGTAGCTACTCTGAAGTAGAAAATCTTCAAAGACTGTTGTCAAACATCAAAAAAAAAAAGCCAGCTCTCTGAGGTAGGGAGGGGAAAGAAACCAACTCAAGGAATAAAAAGTAGAGTCTAAACAGAAAGGGAGTTGAAAATTTTTAAAAAATAAGATTGGAAAGGAGGCAGGGGGGAGGGAGAGGAAAAAAAGAGTCAACCGGCCCAGGATCAGAGAAGAAGTGGTAATTTATTTCCTGGCCGCACACTGCGCACCTTTGAGGTGGTGTTGTCTCAACACTGTCCTCCATCTCCCTCGTTTTCTCCTCCCCTCCTCCCTCTCTCTTTGTACAGAAAATGAGGAAAGCTGCTGCAGGCCAGTAGCAGAACACTGCTGAGCGTGGCTGCCTGAAGCCGATCTATCAAGGGAAAAGGGAACATCTCCAAATCAAGTGCAGAATATAAAAAGGCACCAAGAACGCCTGCCAAAAGCAGCAAACAGAACCCCCACAGCCCAGCTTTCTGTACTGCTTCTGTCATCTCGCTTCCCCTACCCCACCCCCCTACTTGTTCCCCTCCTTCTTCCACATCTCCCTCTTGTTTTGCCCTTTTCTTTGCAGGGAGGGAGAGTAGCAGAAAGCCAACTCGTGATGGCCAGCATCTCCCCCCACCAAAGAGCCGGCCTCGCCACAGCAACCACTTAGCTACAGGAACGTGAGAGAGGAAGAGAAGGGCCACTGTGTAGATGGCATTTGCCCACAGGCTTGCTTGGTGCACCCTCCCCCTGCTCCACTCCCCCAGCACTGCCAATAGAGAAAGTCCATTTGCATACCCAGACAGTACCACCTCTCTATTAACACACATAATCATCCCCACCATGTTATATGAGGGGAGGAGGGCTCAAGAGATTCCCCCAAAAAGCAATATGCAGATTTTAAGACAAGCTTGAGTCTGCCATTGTCTTTCAGAGAAGAGCTACAATCTGCACTAATGCTACGTGGGATTAGCAGGCAGAGATTGGACCCTCAGGACCTGACAGGAAGGACTCCTCAACAGGGACCTGCTAAAAGCTGGGTGCTCCCTACTCCCTGAGGAGGCATGGCCTGGCACCCCACATCTCAAACAGTTGTAAGAAGCATAGCCCTCAAATGGGAGTGGTGACAGGGTGGCCCACATGCTGGCTGCTTTCAGGGACATTATAAATAAAAGGGAAGGTCCCAGAGAAGCCCTTCACCCACCAGCTCCATCCTAAGATTCTCATGGGATCCTTGCTTCCAAACACTATTCATTCAGCATTTGTTAGGCATGTGCTAAGCCAAGTTCTGGGGTTTGAAAAAGAGTGAGCAGCTACCCTTCAGGGCTTTCAGAAGTTACTAGAAATGGCCAAAAAAACAGATCAATGGAAAACTGAAATGACTGAGCCATGCAGAAAGTCCCTGGAATGTGACTTTCTCTCCAAAGGGGGAAGAGAGTCCTCTAACTTCATATATTCGCTCAAGAGTTTAATGAGCATCTATTGTGTGCCAGGAACTGGTTTTAGTCTGGATACAAAAGCTAACAGACAAAACTCCCTCCCCTTCAGGAGCTTCCATTCTAGTGGGAGTGCAGTGAGCCCATCATGGGAGCCTCTCCTAGCATTGCTTGGTTTCTGGAAAGGATTTAGTTGGGTGTCTTTCACTCTTCAATTCAGAAAATGTAAAGATTCAAAAAATATCTCACTTCGAGCCTTATAACTACATCACTCTGCTCCACATCACATTTCAAAGGACAACATAATGTTCTCATTCAGTTCTTCCTTTCTCTCCCCTTCCCCTAGGGGACCCCTACCTCCCCATCCCACCTCCCATCTCTTTTCTTCAGCACGCAACCCTTCAGAAAACAGATGATTCCCCTATCCAATCTATACTCACCGGGAAATGAGGTAGAGACACTTGGCCATTGGCCTTCACACTGCGATGCATTTCTCTCTGGAGCTGTTTCTTACTCCCCACACGGTAAGGAGGGATCCCATCTCTAAGAGAGAGAAAAAGACAAAACCCGCAGGCTCACAAGGATGCTTTCAGCATGTGACTGGCTCAAACATGCCATCCTGAGATTATGCCAGTGACCAGGACCACACGCTTCAATGGGAATGAGCTATACATCTCCAAGAGGCAGTTACTGTCCCCGTGGGGAAGGATCCATCCAAGATCAAACTGCCAAATCGACTTCCAATCCTGACCATCCATCAGAGTCACCTCTGGAAAGAAACTTGGTTCCCTCCTGGAGAAAGGAGCATCAATTTGGAAAGAGCATGTAAGCTCATCTCTCTGGCTATTGTCTGAGAACTGGACTGCACTCCAGAGTCCAATGCAGAGTCAACTGTCCCATTTTCAAGTATCCAAGCAAAAGAGTCTTTGACCCCTTCAGTCCTCCCAGCAGTCTGTTATCACTGCAATGTACTACTACAAGTCAGGAAAACAGTACCAGGCAAAAGGCTGTGTGGACAGGGTAGGAACCAAACCCACAGGCTAGCCCAAACATCAGCAAAGTTCATCTCCAATACCTAACCTCTCAGTCATATGAAGATTTCGCTAGGCTCCAAATCCCACCACCTCCAATCAATGAATTCTCTAAAATCAGAGGACCAAGGCAAGCGGAAGAGAAAAGCCTGTCCTGTGTGTCATTTTGTGCAATTCATGAAAATGTCTGAGTGCCTGTTACATGTCAGGCCTTATTCTAGACTCTGGGCAAGAGAGGACAAAAGGGATGAGAAATTCAACCGTTCCTAGGGAGGATGGCACAGGCAATGAGCAAAAATGAAGCAGCAAAAAATGCCAAGAGGTGGAAAAGTACTCTGATTAAATACACAGCAGGAATGAAGGAGGAGTTACTGGAGAGGGGAGTCGTAATCTTAAATTGGCATGGGGGTATGTCAATGAAGTCCTTGAGAGATGACCTTCGGAAAAAGATGGAAAGGAAGTATAGCCCACATGTCCTTCATCATTCTATTTCAAAAGACAAAGCAAAAGCAAAATATTAACAAGTAGAAGAGTTTTAAAAAAAGAAAGCCTCACTCCTGCTAGCAGTCACTAACACCACAACCTGGAATTACTACATGTATGTATATATATATATATATACACACACACACACTTTTTTTTTTTTTTTTAAAGAACTTCATTCATGAAAGGAATAGAATGGTCAAGGTGTGGCTCTCCCAGTGATGTCACTTCCAGAAGTCACTACTTACAAAGCCTCAGGGCTCACAGATTTCCATAATGAATCATACTTTGAGCCTATAAATATTAATATAGGTATTCTGTTCATCATAGGACGACAGGAAGACCACCTCTGGCTCATCAGCAGTGGGTAACAATCAACAAGGGAACAGCCAGGAGTAACTGGTTGACCTGGGACTCCTTATCTAGGATGCCCCAGAAACCTAACTAGCTGAAATTTCTAGAAGTTTGCTGATCTAGGCCACAAAACAAGGTTACTGAGGGGGACAATGAAGATTCCACTAGAGCAACAAACCAATCTATGTAAGTCGAACCTTGACTACAGGGTGCAGGAAGAATAATCACCTTGAAGGGTAAGAGGAGTGGGGAGAAGAGAGATCAGTGTCCACAACAAGAACCTTCAGTGTGAGCCCCTTCCCAGAGTTGAGAAGGGAGTAGAACCAATACCATAGGAAGGGCAAAGCTGGATGATCAGTAAGAAATAAAGTCTCCCAGTCAGCCTCACTGAGGCCTGCACTTGACTGGGCCTTTGAAGGTGGTTCTAAGTGACCTAAAGCTGATTTTATCAAGACTCAGTGTTGTCATCTTGGGAAAGTTTTCTGGGCAGAGGAGAAAACTGGGCTCTCCTGAGCACACCTGGCTTGCCCAGCAACCAAACCCCATGCAAGGCAACTGATTCCAATCTGAAGCCACAGCTCCCACACAAACTGAGTTTCTACTGCAGGTCAGATGCCTGCTGGCTTATCTCCGACATGTCATCAACTTCACTCTCCCATGAATCACATTTTACAGAAACACCATGCCTAGAGTCACAGGCAGTAGTAATTAGATCCAGGATTCCAATCCAAGGCACTGCCGGACTCCAGAATATGTGTCCTGAACTCAGCAACCTACCCTCAAGGTCCTCATTTCCATCAGCCCCAACTGCTGGGCTGAGCTTCCTGATGGTCTAAACACAGGGTGGCATGTGCTACGCACCAGGGAGCCACCTGACATTCTGGAAGGACAAATGGGAAATTTGGAGACTGTTCTGGAAATCATCCTCCACCACTTGGTACTCACTGGCTATGGGAATGCCTAGTGGGGAATCCCACAGAATGGGTCTCATGCCAACCTAATCAACTTCTGCTGCCCCAGGGCTGGACAAACGCCCACACCCATCTCTTGACCAGCCCCTCTCCCAGGGACAGAAGAATGGAGGTCTGTGTTCAGTTCTCTTCCTGAGGATGGAGTTGGGGGTGGCACAAGAGTCAAGCAGCCCTGGCACAAGAGTTCCAGGAGCCGCTCTCCCCACTCCCTAATCCATCCCTTTCAGGATACTGCCCTTCAATTTCCACTCTGTTCTCCTTTCTTTCCTCTTGGATGGCTTTTATAGCTTGTCTGCTCTCTCCATATAAGGTAGAAAAAAAGAAAAGAGAACAGGAGTCAGGGTGGAGGGGGTGGGGAAGCAGGTGCCATTCAGATCGAAGGCAGGAGAAACAAAAGATTTCCAACCCCCATGACCCCCAGGGCAGGTGTAGGACCCATCTGCAGGAAAGCAACTTGTGACCAGAGTAAAAACAGGAGATTTTAGCTTGGAGAGGCTCAAAGAGGCTTACAGAGCCTTCCAGGAAATGTGGCTTTAATTCCCTCCAGCCAAGAATCTTCTTCCAAAATAGCCCCTTATTCCAAAAGGGGCCTCTCTTCTTTCTTTTATCCCGGCTCTAGAAGTCTATGATCAGTTTCCTGGCTGCTCAAAACCGTAGGCTGAGGAGCGCCAGTTCTGGTCCCTCTACAGTCTCCTTTAATTATAAACATTTTAGCTAACGAGCCCTCTGCCAGACCCAGCTGTTTCTGGGGAGCACTGATTTTGAAGTGTGGACTCCACTTAGCTGCCATTTTAGCTGAGCCAATTAGCTTAGCCTTTTGACTCCGCTGTGCCCCACCTAACCCGAATGTCGCTTTCAGGCAGCTCTGAAAGTACAGGCTCCTGCGCATGTCACCCATGCACATCTGCATTTGGCAGCCACTCTGAAGCAATCTCAGATCACAGCCAGCATCAAAAGCCTGGTTTGTAAGATAAGGTAATATTTGAAGTTCACTTGGATGCATTCCCTGATGTCCAGAGCAAACCTCTATCAATAACATATAAGAAAATAAAAAGAAGTAACTCGTGCCACTTCCTGCATGGAACGGCAAGAAATCACCTTGCACTGATTTGGAGACACTCAGAGCAAAAGTAAGGTACAAATGTAGCCAGTCCTGAACACAGGAGCAGCTCCCTGCAAACACAAGGCCTCATCCCTTCAACTAGACTTTCCTGAACTTGGGCAGTGGCCTTGTGTTCCATCCTTCAGCCTGATGCCCTGGAATGGCCCCACACTCCTCCTGCCCCCAACACTCCAAGGAATGGGGTTTAGAATCTTGCTGCAAGTCTGGCAGCTAACTTAAAAAAAAAAAAAAAAAAGCCTAAAAAGCCATTTCAAGAATGCAGGTTTCAGAGTAACGGACTCATAAAACAGCCTTCTCTGAGGCCTATAATGGAGACGCAAATCCCCAGTCATCTTTAACAGGCTCTTTACTTAGCAGGGAAAACAGAAGCCAGCAGCCGGCTCTGGGAGAAGGCAAAGGTTCTTTAAAGCCCCAGCCTGCTCTGCACAGCAAGGCCCTGGCGGGAGGCTCCCTGCAAAACCCAAGTAACAGGCCAGCCCTGCCCCACCTTCTACCCAGGCCTCTTGCAAAGGCCCCCGGGACTTAATTGGTTCTGTCGCAAATGAGACGATGGCTTCCCTGGACTTGTGTCTAATGAACTCCAACCTTCTGGAGTCTATTGAAGACTGCCCGTGACCCCCTCTCCTCCCTCGCCAGCCTTGTCCCCTCCCACCTCACAGCAGGGCAGCCAGTCCCACTCCCCAGCCCCTCGCAGCCCACAGCCCATGCTGGCCATTGTGACTGTGACGAGGAGAAACAGCCAGGGCGCTTTTCATGCTTTATGGGGCGCTCCTATTCACTTGTTCACGGAAATTTCAAAGGGGCCCTGCTACCCTCTCATCCCCTCTAAGCTTCCCGATGAACAATGGGCTGAAAGCGATTCAGCCCAGCTTTCCATCCCCCACACACTTTATTTCTCTCTTGGCGCGCTCATCTGCACGAGGCCCACAATTGGCAGAGCTCTGAAGAGGGGTCTAATCCCAGCCCTGGGAATCCCAGGTGACTGCCCAACACAGAGCAGATCACACACACCCAGACCCAGGGCCAGTGGCCAGAAAGAGCCTCATATCGCCCCAAGCTTTCAGTACCTGCCAAGTCTGTTCTGTTCCGCAGAGAGTGGGGAGGCCCCCAAGGAGCCCCATGTCTGGCAGTGGATGGCCACTGGAGATCCACAGGAGCCTCTAAGTGTGAGCAAGCCATCATCCAGGGGCCTCTTGGTTCTGGAGACCCTTGTCCCCCACCACAAGCAGCATGAGACAAACATCTCCCAAGAGCAGGTAATCTGCCACTGAGACCAACTGCACCTCCAGTTGGTCTAAATACACCCAGGTAAGTACAGCTGTGACAGTGAAGCTGACAGCCTGCCCACTTTGTTGCAAGGGCTCTAAGTCATCCAATGCTGCCAGGAAGATCAGAGCTGACACCACAGCCCCCAGGTTTCTGAGCCTCCCAGCTACTTTCTCTTGGCTTCCTGGTCTACTCTTTATCGATCCATGGCAGCTACGCCATGGTACAACAACCAGAAGTTCCATCACCAGGGATGCGGTGGTATCTGCTGTGCGCCAGAAAGTTGCTATGGGAGGGACTTGCCCTTTTCCGTCTCTGTATCTAAGTGCCCCTTACTGGCCTTACTAACCATCCCAGGATCGTGTCTGAGCCTGAAAGTGGCCTCCTCACACGTGAAGTCCACAAAGTGCTTTAGCTAAAGGGGGAAGGGAGTGAGAGCTTTAAAGTCACTTGTAAAGGAAACTTAAAATGTTTTCTGGGAAGAGGTAAGAGGGTAAAAGTAGTAGGAACACACAGGGACAATGCATCTACTCCTCCCTGAAAGGGTAAAAAAGGAACGCATTCTGGTCACTAATAAATAAAAAGAAAAGACACCCAAAGTGGCTCACAGGTCTCATGAGCAACTGATCCCATCAACAGGCCTTCTGGTGAACACGTTTGTGCTGGAAGAGGACATGCCAAGGACAGCGGCCCACATGTGGCCTGAATCTGAGCTGTGCCTTTGCAGTGAATGGCACGGACACACGAGGCTTTCATTTCAGGCCTGTCAGAGTCACCAGCAACTGCCTACCTTTCTGATTGGTCCTGTGAAGATCAAACAGAAGCAAGTTTGGGACCACACCCAAGTTATCTCATCATGAACCCCAGAATAACACCTCAGTGATGGGGACTGAAATACAGCCAAGGACCAGGATGAAAGCCAAAAACAGTCTCTAAGAAATCTAAACAGAAGCCTCACAGTCTTAAGCAAACGACATTGAACTTGGGAGAGTCTCTCAATGCTTTCATTCAACTTCAACTTACTCTTACTTTATACATCGTACTAAGACTCCCACACAAGCCACGACTTTAACAAGATGTTGAAATGATGCTTGCTAGAAGCAGGAACAGAGACCGCAGCAAAAATGACAGCAGGTAGAATGACAAAGAGAATAAAGAAAAACTATGTAAAGGAGAGGGTGATAGATACAGAAGCAGAAAGCCCTGCACAAGCTCATAGCCTGAGATAATACAACAACACAGTATGAGAACAGATCTTGACATTAATTTTTTGAATGATCAAGAAATAAACTCACTTTAAAAAAGGAAAAACTATGCCTGGCCTAATACCATTCACTAAAGACAGAGCAAAATATATTTTAAGAATATATCACAATATGTCCAAATTTTCCAGTATGGATCTCTAAAGAGCTCAGTTAATATGGAAAACCCACTTCTCTAAGACCTTTCATTCCTCCATAAAAGACATGTACCCTTGCTCTACTTCCATTAATGCCAAAATGCTTTTGTTTCATTAAAATGGAACTTTTTTTGCCTTAAGGATCTCTTGCCTTTTGCTAACAAGGGAATTTGAAGTAACACAATAAAAGCCACCAGGAAAATCAATAGAATCCCAAACTAACTTCATCAACTGTCCTTCCAACTGGTCCCATGCCACAGGTCCAGCAACAGGGCAGTGGCCAATAGAAACCAGATAGTTGCAAACAAACGGGAAGAATGGACGGTCCAATTTTAGGAAGCTCAAAGGGACAAAGTCTAAGTAAGTGTGTCAGAACTTACACCACTCAATGGGTTTGCCTTTCAATATTTTCCCTTAGCAAGCACAATCCTGACTCCGAAGCATTTGTTGAAAAGTCTTCAAAGGCCGCTTCTGGAACAGTGATTCTAAACTGGGTGCTGGATGAGAAACCTTTGGGGAATTTCACCCAAACTCTACCCTGGGCCCCCTGAATCAAAACCCCAAAGGACAGCTATTCATGTCCACACCCCCGCACATACTCCTATGAGGCTCATGCAGAGTTGCTCTCTATCAAGATCACCACAACTTAATTTCAAATGACCTACAACTCAAGCATGGCCTCGCCTGATGGTCTGGTGACCTCATCAGACCCCTTCAATGACTTGGATTCCTTTCAAAAATCAAAGTCATCCACCTGCAAAAGATCCAAGATCAGGCACTACTTTGGAGAGCCCCTACTTAAGGTCTCCAGCATCTGACACAAAGTCGGCACTCCAACATCCACTGAACAATGCCCACTGAAACATTTCCATGTGAGCACAATGCACACAAAACAGTGAATTCACAAACCTATCTAATACCACCCTGTGTCCCCCTTGTTGGTTCTGCAGACATGACACCTGGGTTTCAAGACTAGCCAAGCAATTATTCCCATAATGACAACTAGAAGATGTCTTTTTAAACTCCAGGAATATATAGACCCTAAACTTACCCTTCTACAGTACATAGTTTTCTTCTGTTAAGGCACCCCTCTAGCTCTCCCTCCAAGGTCCTCAATTAACCCCACCCAGGCTACCATCCCACTCTCCTTGACCAGCACTTGACCATGGCCACTGTCATATTCTCCTTCTACCAAACTAATGTCCACACTCACACACACAGGACCTGCAAATCCAGGTGAGGCTAAGAGACCACATACCCTGGTGAGTCATACCCCCAGCCACATACACACAGATACTTACACACTACTGTCCGTCATGGACATGGAATCATCAGTCAGTGCGTCGCTGGATATCTCACTGTCATTGGCGCTAGTGGCTGGCGCAAAGACGTAGCCAGAACCTACATGATATGGGTTCACAGGATCGCTCCTCTTGAATGATCTATGGAAAAAGTACAATAAAAATGTGGTCACTGATCCTCCCCAGAAACCCAGGTCATAGGTGACCCCAGGCCAACTGAGCCCATGATCCTGATCCCAGGCCAACTTGTTGCCTAGGTTAAGCTGCAAGCCTGGGCAGAAAGCAGGGACCTGCTAGCCACTAACTAGCCCTGGGGAGAAGGAAGAGGGAACTGCAAGGGCAAAGTATTTCACAGGCAGTCCAGGAAATCCTACTGAGGTCTAAATTCATGCTTACAGAGAGGAAGGAATAGACTCTGCTCTAGGAGAGAAGACTATGGATAAGAGAGGGATGTCAGTGGAGCCACGGGTCTTTCTCCTCCCAGCATCCATATCCAAAAGAATCCAATTTTGGGGCCCCAAAACATCCTACACATCCTAGCGAACACATTGGGTCTGTTAGCCTAGTTCAGAGAAGCAAACAAATGGAGGCCTGGTGTGCCATTCCTACTTTGACCGAGGTTCCCAGTGAGCCGGACAGATGGAAAAGACAAGCTCAAGACAATGTTTGGGCTCCCATCCCAGCCATGCACTGGGCCTCTGCCATGCCCCTTCTCCCAGCACAGCCTCCCTTCCCCCCAGGCTGGCCCAGGGCCCCAGGCCTGAAATGAGCAGCACAGCTGTGTCAAAGGAAGGCCCAGGCCCCTCCTCCAGGGGTCTCCATCCCTTTTGTCTCAGTGGCCTCTGGGTCCCCATTTTGCTCTCTTGATCTCCTCCCAGAACAACCAGTGTGCTTGTCTCCTGCTGGGCTGCATTCCTCTGTGTCACCAGCCAGGGACTTTAGTAGGGGGAGGGGAGACAGGTTGGCAGGCTGCAGGAAAGAAACCCTTTTGGGGTTGTTCAGCCTGAAGTTACAAAGCCCCTGGCCTATTCCACTGGGCCCACCACAGCTAAGCCAGCAGCCCAGCCATCACCTAGAAGAGAATGGAAAGGCTTAGAACAGGAAAACTTACTCTGACAGGAACCTACGAAACATCATGGTCAGCTGCCTGGACATGCTCGATGATCTCCTGCTCCCTCAGTGTATACAGCACTATGCTGGGCTCTGGGTATTTACGGCCCCAGGCTCCAGTCTCCTGGCATCGGGGCCTGTTAGAGGCATGTCGCCATATGTGGGATAGGAGTGTCATAAGGGAGGTACTTAGGACCCTAGGGTGGGCTCCTAGAAGGAGTGTTGTGCTGTGCCCATTTTACAGATGAGACCCTTGGAAGACCCAGGTATACAGAAGCTTGCCCTGGTAGTAGAATGGTAGTGGAACCATAATCATAGCACTAATTCACCTGGCTCTCATGCAACCTCTCTTCCTGCCTCCTAACACACAAGGCTTCTATCAGGGATAGGTGGGGACAGCTCTCTGGGACAGATGGGGACAAGGTACATCACAAAGGCTGAACAGGTATTTGAGGCTAGTAAACCCAGGACTAGGCAGGCAGGAAAAGCAGTGAAAAGCTCTCCCCAGCCTAGGAAGAGTGGGGGTCTAACTAACTGAGATAAGACTAGGTAGACTATTAAGACTGGAGCAGGAGAGAAGGAAGTAGGGCTGTAGTGCAAGGCCAGAGTCTGTCAATGGGACAAGGAGGGCATGGAAGGCTGGGGAACAGCAGGAGTGGGAGATGGAGAATGAGTTCACAGTAGCCCATGGGGCCTAAGGGTGTTACCAGGTTGGACTGGAGGAAGGGGTGAGTGCAAGCAGGAATTCCAGTGGGACACTGCTTGACCCCATTTGCTGTGAAGAGCTCAAGAGAAGACAGTGAAAGTGGAAGGGACAACCCCATGTGTAAGGAGCCTGTGTTCTAGCTGGAGTCCCAGAGCCAACCTTAGAAATATCTAACTCAATTTCCACCCCCCCCAATACTTAGAGATTGTTAATACAAATCAAACCCACTGATTCCAAGTCCCAAGTGTGCCAAATGCCTTGTCAAGACCACCTGACTGGAGACTTGGCCATTGCATCTGAACATAGCTGCGATCTTCATTCTATTCTACTGCATTAGGCTAAAGCAGAAAGCCAGGCCTTAGAATGTTATATCAACACAGAGTTTTCCAGAAGGTGCAAACCAGAAGTGTTGCACTTGAAACCGCTGTATACTTTTGCCCAAGTGACTCTGAGCTGTCCTTAGGACACTGGCCCTATCCTCCTATCTTGCCATGTCCTAGGAGTTTTTGTGAAAATTCAATGAGAATGGTAAAATCTTCCATGCTTACTAAATGCAGCTCTGTATCCTCAATGTGGGGTTCTCAGACACCAGGATGGAGGGAAGGAAAGAAGGCTGAGGGATGATCTGGAAAAAAGCCTTCTAGTCAATGGGGTACCCAAAAGGAATGACTGCTCACCAGCACTACTGGAGGCAGAACGAGTAAACCGGCCTCAAGTCAGAAAGACAGGACTTCTAAGTGGTCAAGGGAGATCATGGAGTGGCAGGAGATGGGCACAGGCCAAGGAACTACCCAAGTCTTTACTCAACTTAAAACAGCCCTAGCCGGGTGCCAATGACTCACACCTGTTATCCTAGCTACTCAGGAGGCAGAGATCAGGAAGATTATGGTTCAAAGCCAGTCTCAATGAATAGTTCTCCAGACCCTATCTAGAAAAGGCCCATCACAAAAAAACAGCTGGTGGAGTGGCTCAAGGTGTAGGCCCTGAGTTCAAACCCTAGTATCACAAAAAGAAAAAACAAAACAAAAAACCTAAGTACCCAGCTCTAGGGCTTGGATGGAGCTATTGTCTCAAAGCAGGTGGACATTTCCATGGTCCCCAACTATGGTCAGAAGTCAGTGATGACTTGATTCCATACACTCTGGGCAAGGACCACAAGTCAGAAGCCAACTGCTGGTGGTGGCTTGGCTGCCAAGCCTTGCTGGGTGCGCAACACCCACCTGAAGTTAGTAAGCATTTCAAACATGGCCACCGCTCTGTTTTCACACCCTCTGAAGCGCCAGGAAGGGCACTGTAATTGGGGGAATCACAGTCATACTCCAAAGTCCCCACCACCAAAAAAAGTGGAGAGCTCCATTTTCTCGAATATGCTGCCAAAATTCTGCAGTATTTATCATGATTTATCCTGCTGAATGCCTGTCCTGAGCCCCAGGCTGTATGGGGGCTCAGCCCTGATTACACACATGTATACATCTCCCAATACCAAAAGTAATAGGTGGCACATGGCAGAAGCTCAAAACCTGGTTGAACTTTCTTCAAAGACCTAGATCCATCAAATGGGTTGCTGAAAAGTCTTAAAAGAAGCATAGTGCAAGATCAAAAAGAGCCAAAGCAGCCTTAAATAGCATTCAAACACTCTTTCCATCCCCTCAGCCTTGCTATCTTGGTGGTATTAACACATCAACAATGTCTCAGATGTAAGACTTATACTCAGCCTCTTCAGGGAGAAAATGACTCAATAGAAATTCCTTCCTCCCCAGCAAAAAAAGACTCCTAATTCAGACCCCATGTGTGCCCAGCCTCACACTCCTTCTTTCACACTGGATCCAAAAATAAACTCGTCTCCCTGTACTTCCAAAATAGTGGGCTACTGTGTGACCAGTAATTAAAAATGGAATATACTTCTCTTAACTCCGTTGACTGCAATAAAGTACTTGGATTTTCCTACAATCATAACAGGACAAGCAAAGGAAGGAGGAAGGGCTGTGGAGAGATAGAAACTCAATTTTTAAGCACCCAGAAGTTTCTCCAAAGCGCCACATAATTTTAAGAAAGCAGATTAGAGCTGTTTTCTTGTGATTACTTAAGGGGGATAAAAATGGAAAGAAACTGGAGCATGCTGCAGTAATTGTACCCAGATGCTTTGAAGATTTCTTCAGGACTGTGCTGCTCCCAGTTGCTGCAAGAATTTTGCATTCCTGCAGGGCACAGGCCTGTGGCCACACTCTGCATCTGCATCCACAGGTCAACTCTGCCACTTAGAGAGCTATCAGTGGCAGGTAGCAGAGGCTACTGTGAAGGAGGTGTCTGCAGCCATCACTGCCCCTCCCCAGATCCCAGAAGCAAAGACCTCCCTATATTGATCCAAAGGGAACCCACCAGAAGACCTCCTTCTGAGGCCTATCCCATAGAAGTACAATATAAAAAGGACTTCCTTCTAACCCTGGGCTCAGGGCTTTCTAAGAGCTTCTGACAATTTCCTCACAAGGTCACTGGCCAAAAGGCAACACCCTCTTCCACAAGCATTTTCAAAGGCAAGATCAAGGGGTGTACAGCAAGGGGTCAGTGCCTTTTGGAACCAGGCAAGTTTGCCAAGTGTAACTTAGCCAGCTGCCTCCATCGGAGCCTCGTCCTCTAATTGCCGACTACTGCTTCCAGCATATCTTTCCTCTGGCATCATTTTCTTTGATAATTGAAGCCAAGCTTGAATCCAATGGCTTCACACAAAAACGGGCCTCATCAGCGAGTTCTTTCAGAGAACAGGAAGCCCTTGGAGCCAGAAGAGGGCCATCTGCTGGGCCCATGGGATTTTAAGGGAGGCCAGAGCAAAGGACCCAATGGGAGACAGATGAGCCCTGTCCAGGGCCAGGGCTGAAAGGAAGGACACAGGGAGCTCTCTGTGCACCCAACACTGTATTCTCCTTCCCAAAATAAGTGCTGGGCTGAATGCCTGGGCCCACAGGCCCCCCTGAGAACACACCTCAACACTGTGGATGTGTTTGTGTGCTGGGGTTTTTACACGTGCTCCCACCAACAGGTCATTTTTGCCCTTTGGTTATTTATAGAGACCATCAAAAGCCCAGGCATCCCACTCAGCCACTCGCCAACCAGAGCCCTTCCCTCCAAGGATAATTCCTGCTCTTCTGTCCCAACTATTTATATTAAACCTGACACCAAATCAGTAAGGACACAAACAAGTCGTTAAAAATGAGGCTTCTTTGAGTGCCCAAGGTAAACACAGGGCTGGGAAGAGGAAGCCAGCCAGGGCCGTTGGCATCCAGCTGCCAAGGTGACTGTCAACAGCTAAGGAAGACAGACCCTCAGC